GAGTTGGCTGTAGCCGAACTTTTTGTGGCCGAGTTGATTTGTGGCCGAGTTGACTTGTGGCCGAGTTGACTTGTGGCCGAGTTGACTGTGGCCGAGTTGACTTGTGGCCGAGTTGACCTGCACCCGTACTAGGCCTAGATACTACTACTAGCCTAGAAACACGGTACTAGGCCTATCCTAGGGCATAGGCCTTGGAATTACAGACGATCGAACCAGTGGCGGCTCTAGGATATAATTTAAGGGGGGGGGGGGCTAGCCTAAGTATTTATGGATGTAACTATAGCGTGCAGCGTTATCTAGGCCTTTCGCACATCCCTGAAGCTTGACGTACATACCGGTAGGGCTAGAAACTGAAAGGTCCCCTGATTAAACTCAAATTAAAGAAAGTATATAAAATAGCCTAAGCATTAGAATTGTTCATGTTTAAATTCCTGTTGGGGATAGGCCCTAGGGATACACATTAATTAATTTTTAATTTTTGTTTTTCATGTACAAAATTTAAATTGTAGGCTTAATCCACTTCTAGCCGCGTAGAACTCCTAGCACTGCAGCCTGCTGCGTAGGATAACTGACCTCTACCAAGCCTGTGTGGCCTTTCTCTTCTTTCAAGTTTGCCCGACAAGGGACGCTAATCGCAGTATGCATGTACAATTTGTTACCTGCTCATTGATGACTATGCACGTCCGATTTCAAATCGCTAGATACCCTAAGACCAAGAAGTTTTGAAGATTCAACTACTACTTTAACTTTTAACATAGGCTTATTATTCTTCGAAAATGAAAAGCCTATTTTCATTCGTTTAAAATTTTATCAGGATTTATTAGCATGTTATTAAAATTGGTCTCTTCACATGGTGGTCCATTCACATTTATCATGATGATAATTATTAAAATTGTTTTTTTATATCAAGCTACAGTAGGATTGATATATTGCATGTAATCGAAATTGAAAAAAAAAGAGCAGGAACTGTCTTGTTGCCCTTGTGCCTTTCAAAGGTACTTGTACCTAACTGTATACCTTCCTGCACACAGTCACATACGCTATACCTTTTCAGGCAATTATAGAAATATCCAGCAATCATATTTAATATGCAATAGAAGGTTGCATCGTAACAAACTGGTGTCATAATTCAGGATAGCAGCGTTTTCTTCAGCAAAATTAAGTTAAACCATGTTGATTAATATGAATTTTATCCTTCTTTATCTTTAAATAATAAATACTTTTACATGCTATATATAATCTCAGGTATGCCTTTTTGTTTGATATCTAATATCAGCTTTTATATATAAATATTTGTGACAATTCAGCCAATAGCAACCAGCACATGTAGGCCAACATACATTAAATCATTATCATCGTCACACATATCATTTCCTCTAAGAACTTATAATAATACATGAGTCATAGGCTAGGGACTTCTGAACGAATTAGGCCAACATGATATGTACTTCTGGCACTGGAGCAAACAGAACTGTAATGTTCATATGTCAGCCCTCTCGCCAGGATTTTTTTAAGGGTGGCGGAATTTCAGAAAATGTTCAAAAAAATTAAAGGGTGGTGCGCAAAATTTTAAAGGGTGGATACATTTTTGGTACATTGTCCTACAATTTAAATTTCAATCACTCGATACATTTAATTTAATGTATTAATGCAAACAATATATGTGTTGATGTGAATAAAGATTTGAACTTCCAACCCCCCCTCCCCCCTCACTTCCTTTCCCTAAAGAAGCTCTCTATCTTGGTTCAGTCTCCAGTAGGTCAAGTGTGTGTGGTCAGGATCTATAAAATTAGATGTTATCATTTTCTAATTATGGTTAAGTGCATGTTTGATGTTGTGTTAAATAATAATTACTGTTACTTTGAAGTGGTAATTATCGGTTTTGTAGTAGGGACTAACTAAAATATTGTTTTATTCCGATTGCAGCCCATCACGTATGTACAGTAATTCGCCGGAACAGTTGCTCTCCTCAAAAATCACTCTCCAATACTGTAAAACCTTGAATTAAAGCTCTGGGCTTCTTTGTTTTGTTTTGTTTTGTTCTTTTTTTTTTTTTTTTGCGAAACTTTGATAGGCTTCTTTTCTAGGCTATTTGTGCTTGCAAAGTAGGCCTAAAAAGAGTGGGCTTCTTTTTAAAATGAATGCTGTAAATTTTGGGAATTAGTACATATTTAGGGATTTGGCTGTGCATGCTAATAACTTTATTTCAAGAAAGATGCTTCAATATTACAACTACTGTATCTCCAAAGTAAAGATCGTAACCTTAACTTTAAGGGTACATTGAGTCAGTGTTACATGCTGGCCTATATATATAATCAGACTAGCCTGTGTCTATTTTTTTAATTTTTAATTTTTTTGTTATGCTCGTGAAATGCTGGTTTCTCACAATTGTCTAGGCAGTACTATCTAGGTCTACATGTCCTCCCTAGAGCTTAACGCCATGTCCTCCGAATCAAACGTGTATTTGGTTGACTATTAAAATTTAGATAAAGAAAATAGCTCATCATATTAAAAACAAAATATGCTTTACTTTTGAAGTATAATTGATCGTCAAACTGCGGTGTCTTTGTTCAGTACGAAAAATACAGCTACTGTATGTACTTGCGTATTAGACGAGGCCTAAAATATAAAAAAGCGATTAAAAGGTAAAAGAGACATATTTAAATGAACTAATTTTATTATTTATTATTTATTTATTTGTTAGTCGAAAAATCTTGATCTGTGAGTAACCTTGAAATCTGTGAGGGGTCAATGGTCCTGTATTCTTTTTTCTCTTCAAAGATTTAGATTTAGACCGATATAAATTCATAGTACAAGTTGTCATCGGAGAGCAAAGAGGAGAGGGTGTCAAGTGAGATTTTGTTCCTCCATAGTAGAACTTGCAAATAACGATTGGCAACTATGTAAGAGTCAAAAATTATTTCCCTTTTCCATGTGATAGTTAATTTATAAATTTCTGTGCATTGTTTATTGCATGGTGCTTCTAGGGTCATTCTGGCTCAAATGATATGTCAAAAGAAAGAATCAAAAATTTCAGCTTCAATTTCCAAGTGGTTTTCAAGTTATGACCTTTTAAAATCTAGGTACCATGCCCCCTTTTTCATTCCGGTAAAGTCTCCTTTTAACTTTGTACGGTTTTTATTGAAAGCTATATCTCCTGAAATATCGAAGATAAAAAGTTGAAAATTACTACATAGACTGATATTTGGCCCACTTTCAAGAAATACTATTCAAATTTTGGTAGTATATTTTATTAGAATGTTATATGCCAACTAAAATCCCCAAAAGCATTGTGCGAAAATAGATATTAGCTTTTTTGGACGGATGTATCTTATCATTCTTTAAAGTAAGGAAGTTGAAATTAAACATGTGATGAATATGTTCATAGTACTTTATATAACAGTTTGCAAGGTAATTAGAGGAATAATGAAGGTATGATGGGGTCCCGAATATGGTTGCCACAGGACCATTGACCCTATAAATACCCCTACTTTGATTGACGTCTAGATAACCTCATGGACATTTAATATTAATTATGAAATTTATACTAGTATACAGATACACATATCATCATTGTAAGCAGAAAGTTTAAAATTTTTGTTTCTTAATTCCTTTAGTGTGAACTGATTTTAAAAATAGACAGATTTTAGTGTATTGTAAATATCAGGTCAAAGTTCAAATCACATGTAAGTCAGTATTTGTGAATTAACTTTGACCGGATATCCAGAATACATTACAAAAAAAATAAATGATATGTTCATTCCTTTAAAAACTGAAGACAACCTGGTGTCCCTTGAACATTCTCCAAGGGGAATGTACAGTAAACTGTTAAAGCCATGAGTACGAGTCCAATGGCAGATGGGGGGGGGGGGGGGGCTGAGGGCCTATGTGCCCTCCCCCCCTTCAGTCAATCTGAAAAATATAAGAGGGAGAATAATTTTAGTTAAAAAGAGGAAAGAGGAAAAAAGGAGTGCACCCATGAGTTAATTGGGTGAAAGAAGAGCTCGATTATTTACCACTTATTTACGCCAGCCATGGTGGGGCTGAGGTGGGTGTGGCGGCGTGACTTTCATTTTGAGCGAACGCCAGTTCTAGCTAAAAAAAAAAGGACCGTCTACAAACCTTAACTGCTGTTGTTATTTTAAATGTACAGTTTCATAATTTGTCGCCCTCTTCCGATTCAAATTTGTTTATTTATATCCTCTTTTTGTTGATGAGTTTAAAATCGCTGACACAAGAACTTTATTTATATCTTCCTTTGGTTTCTGTGTGTTTGTTGCCATTAATGCCCAGTGACTGTCACTTTGTTTTTAGATTTCGGCAAGCAACTGTGAAAGAAACCATCCACATTGTTCTGACAGAAGAGCTTGCAGATAAGCAATATGATTCTGAAGAATGCTCAGAGTGGTGCAAGAACATTAGTTCAGAAATAAAAAAGCGATTAAAAGGTAAAAGAGACATATTTAAATGAACTAATTTTCTTTTCATACCAAAAAGCATTCTCAATTAGATTATTCAGATTGTGGAATTCACTATTAAACGATGTAAATTCATATTCAGTCATGATTAGGTCCATTTAAAGAGTATAAAAAAGAAAGAGAGCACAGTATGCTCATTGTGGGTGTAAACATATGGCTGGCTGAGGTCCCCCCCCCCCCTACTTTTTGGCAGAAAAGGAATAATGTATATGCAGATGTTTGTATGATCGGAAAGAATACAAGTGGCCCCCCCACCCACTTTTAAAAATGTTCCACCGGCCCTGAAACAAACAATACACCCTTATACGCAGTTATTGAGTTGCCACCTACCACAGTTTTTCTGTTTTCCACTAAGATACAATTCATTCGTAGAGGCTTTTAGATTAATATTTCAATTTTTATTAATGAATGTGTATTAATATGTTATGTGTCGGCGCACTTCCATAAGACAACTAACGCAGCGGGCACACTTTATGACAACGATGGCAACTTCCATCTTTACTAGTGACGTGATGGGGTGTATTTACAAATCTGACTGTGCTGTCTTTGGTCTATCATAGACAGGGTGAGGGTCCTCCGGAAGTAATATATACGGGTACTTAGGTTCTTATACCTGCCAACTTTGTTGGTGTCCGATGTGTGAGGCAAAATAATTATATGTATTTTGCACCTCTATCTTCTATTCACCCAATATAGTGCCCTCTATGTAATAAACACAAAATAAAGCACCCTAAATGTTAGTTTTAATTATGTAATAATCACACAATATGGCCTAAGTATTATACTTCATTTTTATGAATTGTTGAGTATATTGGCATTTATTTTTATGGTCTGTGAGATAATACAATGTACTGTAGGTGTGAGACAAAAATGGATGGATGCTCATGGTGAAGGTGTAGACCCATGATGGTGATAAGAAGAAGTGAACTCTTTTTTGTGTCAAATTCCTTCCAGTTGTCACTGTGTCACATCTTTTTAGTATAACAGTATTTTATTTTAGGAGGTTAGCAAAATGTCTCTATATTGGTTTTGTAAACTGATATCTGTTGAAATTGACATTTACTGTTAAACTTGCCTTAAAGTCAAATCCAAAATGGCATTGAAATTCTTGACTATACATGAAATTTGACTTACAGGTAATTAATGGAAAACACAACAATTTGGCATGTACTGTAAAATATGATCGACTTAAAAATTATTCAAGTTAGGCAAAGTCGGCTTCAGTAAGTTTAACTGTATTCTTTTTTCTCTTCAAAGATTTAGATTTAGACCGATATAAATTCATAGTACAAGTTGTCATCGGAGAGCAAAGAGGAGAGGGTGTCAAGTGAGTTTTTGTTTGTCTAGTGATTTTCCATTAATTGCTTTCTATTATACTATCAGTTTTAGATTACTAATTGTCATCATCACATTCATAATTCATCATTATTACCAATATCATCATCGTTGCTGTCATCATTGATGGTAATTAATATTTTATATACAAATTATCATTTTTTTGCGTAATCTATCTGAGAAAGAAAAACTATCATGTGATTTAATTTACTATTAATCATTGCATATTGCATACCTTGAGAAAGAACATCCTAAAAAAATCCAAGGGTGTGAACACTTGGCCTCATAGCTCAGTTGATAAAAGTCAGGTTCACATATCTCCATCGATCGCGAGCGGTTGAGGCGCTGGGTCGTGATCGAGATTATGTTAGGTAAAAAAATGGCCAATCCGCGTCCGCTGCTGCTTTTGAGGCAACATCCCAAATTGGTTGTAGATATCCTAGGCCTGGGTGGAGGTGACATCGATGATTCTAACATTTTTGGCGATCGACGATGTTCCCAATTCTGTGGTAAACCAGCCAGTTTGGGGCCCAAGATCCCAATTTATTCATTTTCTCTAGGTAACTGTACCGTTTTCTTAGGCCCTGCAACTTGGTTTTGATTTGCTGTGCCATCGTCTGTTAGTGGCCTGGCACAAACAAAAATCTAGCTGCGATTTTCTCGTGTATTTTTGTCTTGTTCTTGCCCAAATCTCGATCAAGTTACTAATTTCTTTGAAGCTATTAAAAATGTAAAAGATTTTTTTTGACATAGTACAGTACATACACTGTACATGAATTTTCAAAGAAACAAAATAAATATAAAAACACTCATGGTTTATACAGTAGTTTAGGTGATTTAATTGCCAATTAATTCACCCTATGATACAGATTGATGTTACAGTGGCCCTACAGTATTTATTGTTTTATAGTAGTAATTCACAAAATTTACAGCATTCATTCTGAAAAGAAGCCCCCCCCCCCTCTTTTTTACTTTGCAAAAGTAGCCTTGAAAAGAAGCCCATCTTGAAAAGAGACTCATCCAAAGTTCGCAAATAATAAAGAAACACAGGGCTTCTATTTGATGTTTTATGGTATGTTCTATATCTTGCTGTAGAAAAATAATAACAATTAGCAGGTTCTGCAGTGCTATTGAACACAATTTGAAATATAATTACAGTATTAACCTTTATGTTCCCTTTTGTTTATTATAGAATGGGCTGCAGGTGTTTCTGGGATTCTGATACTGACAATTATGCACAAGATATTTTTATGAATGTAGGTTAACTTTATTATTGTAAAATATTCATACCTCTTTTATTATATTATTATTATAATTATTCTTGGTATTGCCGTAGGTAAATCAATTCATGGTTTCTTGGAACTTAGTTACTACATGAATAATATTAATTTTGTTATTTATTATTTATAATTTTACTGTTATTATTAAAGTACAGTATTAGGTGGATGGGTGAGTGGGGTGGTTGTATTTTTTATTGTTCCTTCAAGTATTTACTATTATTGTCATTATTATTTATACTAATATTAATATTATTTAATACATTTAGTACCAGTTAATATTATAACATTATGGTCATTAATAGCATTATGGTTTGTTTTTTTTCAATTCAAATTTTGGTTTATTCAAAAATAAAATGGCATAGCAGAATAAACTGAATTGCACCAAATTTACATTATTAAAAACATTAAGATATATCAAAAAGTATTAAAAGATAAGTTTTGAAGGTTTGCATGGCGATTGACAAATAATAATTAATTATAAATGCTTTCGGTATACCATATGAGGGCCCATATGCTACAAATCTCAATTGATGGTGTTTTGAACCATTTGGATTGCAACGTTATAATGCTCTAGAAGATGATTACAGTGTACTAATCAAAACATTACAACCCAAACAGTTCTCAGAACCAAAATACTATCAGTTGAGATTCGTAGATGCCATATGATGTACCAAGGGCATGTAATTAATTATTATTATTAGCATTATTATAGTTATCATTATTTTACTTTTATTAATATTTTTGTTTTATTTTTATTTTTTTTGCTAACTGCCGAGGTGGCTGTTGTTGGTATTATTTAATATTATTGTATGATATTATGTCCAAAGGCCAGTTACACAATGCATTGTGATGCACTATGAAAGTATTCTAATAAAATTTACAGAGCGAAAGTTTAAGATTCAGTTCCTTTGCAGTAGCAGATTCTCATTAGGAAAACAATTTATAATATTAAAGATGATGAAGTGAAAATAATGAGTTTTTTTTTATCCAGCCTTATCTACATGATACAAGATACTTTATTTTCTTTTAATACTAATCTAATACTGATTTTCTTTTGCAGGAGAGTTTATTCTGTGTAGCTGCAGCTTTTGGTGTTTTCTATTACTGAACAGTTGACGATTACTGTACCAGTGCTGAGGCATGCAAAGCATGTAGCTGTTGGTCAACATAGGATTCAGAGTATCATAATGTAATAGCCAATCGGTCTGATTGGTCCAAAGAGAATGATGCTATTATGGTCATACTGTACTGTATGATAAATATTGGAATTTGAAATTGTATTATATAAATATTCTTGTACATAGATATTATACAGTTAACACTTAAGGGCCGTTCACACTATCAAGTGCTACGTGACATACGGTATTTGCGTAATTTTGCCCATATATGTGAATGGTGATGTCATTACACCCATATATGGCATATGTTTTTCATATAAGACATTATTCAGACAGCCATTCTGAGTACAATAACTCTGATCTTTAAAAATGTACTTCAACATTTAATTGAATTTCTTAACCTGAATATTGTAGTGGATAAATATTAATTAGTCTTTAATTGAAAATTTTGAACTTGGAAATAATATCAATAATTATCATGTGCATATGGTATGTAATTCTTTGCCTATATATATAGTGACTTTTAGTCTTGTATTTGGCTAATTCTTTGTTTTTTTATTTAGGCACACAGAACATACACCAAGCGTAGTCAAAAAAAGCTCCTGTACGGGTATTCTTTTTATAGGACATTAAATTAGTTGATAAACTGTGGTGTAATATTGAAGAACCTAAAAAATAAATAACAAAATTATAATGCTCTTTCAAATGTATTAAAGATGTTCTTGGAAAAATCGTATCTATAGTAAATGAGATTTTATACTGAATTACAATTAGCAATTTTAATGATGGTTTGTTACAGCATGGTTACAGTCAACAGCTTTTACTTTAAATTGTATAATAAACATCCAGCCTCTGGATACAAATTGGATTTGCATCTTCTCTATTTATGTTCCATATTCTTTTGTTGTGTGACTCAGTACATATTCGCAATGTAAATTTCATGTGCGAGTCCTTCACCAGATTTCCTTTCCTGGTTTGCTTCAACAAATTTCAAACTGTTACTACTTTTTGCAAAAGAAATATGCGCAGCCAATCAGAGATCGGGAAATGATTTTATCACCCCCCCCCCCCATAGGCACAGAATCGAATCGATGGTTGTACAAGTTGCCATGGCACACCAACATGTCAATGACAATGCTGCAGCATTGATTGTAAAATGTGCATGTTTTTAAAAATTTGTATTATACTTCAACAACATTTGGTGGTCCATCCAGCTGGAGCTGATCATTAGGGACCTTCAATACATAAACCAAGAAACAAAGGAAATGAAATAGATTAACTAAAAAATTGAAAGAATTATTGATGTCGCAAACCTTTGCATTTAATGGAAAATATCTTAGCGCCCGCACAAATATTTTCGCTAACTTTATAACTCTGAGGGCGCCATTAGGATTTTCCACCAAATTTTTGATTCACAGGTTTTTTTTGTTTTGTTTTGTTTTTTTTTTCATTTTTCTTAAAAAAGTCAAGATTATTTTGTTGTCCAATATACGGAAATTCGGTTTGGGTGTAACCATTTCAATACATACAGACACAAAGACATATACACACATCGAAAATATAACAAGAAAAGTAAAAATAACCAATATAAATATGAAAAACTTTATATGGCCGATGTACTATATATCCAATTAAATGAATAAATAAATATAGTTAAAGAGACAAGGGGTAAATATTGATTTAGACATTTGAGTTGTAGAATGGTATTACAAAAGGTATGAATCAGTTGGGAAATCTGGAGGTACGGCAATTAGCAGTCTTTATTTGCAACTTTTTTTCGAATTCGAGAGTACTACTGTTCCATCTCAACTATCGGGAAAGGGTGTGTTCATGCATTTCTTTCCGGTTTTGTTTATTGGTTTATTTTTCATTTATTTCTCTCAAAACATAAACGAGAGACAAGAACAAACAGACGCAATCAGAAAAAAATTGAAAACAAGATAGAGGAAAACCAAAAAGCGAACTTAATCAACCATCGAGTGGTTTCCCCATTACATATAAAAATATAACACATATCATCAATAAAAAAATAATAATAATAATTTTTCAGAAATTCAAATTAAAATTTTAAACTATGTGAAACATGCAGGAATCAAAAAGGAGTCAGATGAAACTAACATGCAAAATGAAGCTTGAGAGATCGGCGGAATGTATTGAAATTGAACAAAATATCGTTGTCGCTTGGCAGTCTGGCCCATGCGCGTTGAAAATGATTGAAAACCGAATAGGCCTATTTAAAAGCATTAGTTCTGGAGTGATTGGTGGACAAAAACAAGATCATTGGGGTGCCGAGAAAAAGGAGTCAAAAAGGAGTCAGATGAAACTAACATGCAAAATGATGCTTGAGAGATCGGCGGAATGTATTGAAATTGAACAAAATATCGTTGTCGCTTGGCAGTCTGGCCCATGCGCGTTGAAAATAATTGAAAAGAGAATAGGCCTATTTAAAAGCAATAGTTCTGAAGTGATTGGCGGACAAAAACAAGATCATTGGGGTGCCGAGAGTTAACCTTAATAAAATTAGAAATATCAATTGAATATTTCTCCTAAAGACAGCTGGCAAGAAATGAAATACATAAATAACAAAATCCATCCTCAACAGGAATTAAGCCCCGAATAATTACAACGCTGCATAGGACAGACTGCCAGACTTAACTTTAAACGGAACACGGGACGGAACAATTACATTAACAGGGACACAGGCTCTCAACATACGTTGTTGAATTTTTTCAAATTTCTGAATGTGACCCCGGTTGAATGGTAGCCAAGAAAGAACCCCAAACTCAATAATAGGACGAACAAGAGCATTGTAAAGCCTATGTATTATAATAGGATTCCTGGTACGAACAATCCTCCTGATAAAACCTTGTTTGAAACATTATCAACATGAGTATTCCAAGACAAATCATTAGAAGAAGTAACCCCAAGATATTTCACAAAGTTAACGTTCGAAATTGTATAATCACCAATGAAATATTATGTAACAGCATTTTGTTTATGTTTACCGGATCTATAGTTATCAAAGAGTAGCATTTATTTACGTTTAGGGGTGTTTGTTACTCACACTCCAAGCATTGAGGGCATTAAGGTAATTTCGCAAGCATACTACAGTACATCGCTATGGGATCCGATAGTCGTGTGACTGATGGTACCATCAGCGTATTGAATAATATATATTATATATATATACACATATATACTTATATATATATTTTTTATATATATGATTTATTGTAATATTTATGACCATGGCAATCACATTGGTGAGATTGTAAGCAAAGTTAGACTTCGATCATAAGAGTGCAGACGTAAGGACCCATTCTCCACCGTCAGCCAGCTTTTTAGCCCTCCGGGCCATACCATCAACTAACTGCGCTTCATTAAATAAGGCATATATAATACTCTTGTACCAAAGCCCGGCGTTGCGCCGAAATTCGATGGGTACAACGTCTTAATACACATACAAGCTGGTTAAACAGAGATCTTGGCGTACTTAGCGGATACACATGTATTCATTCCATTAAGAACTGTTTTTAATTTCGGAGTACTGTATTATTGACGGAGCCGATGACACTTTGCATAGGTCCAACTATTATGATGCGGCTTTTTTTATTTTATTGTCATCTCATAAACGCCGCTTTATGAGAATTAAAGCATTGTTATTGTAGGCTCACAGATTGAATACGGTACTACGGCCGGTATATCACCGATTTATATTGTTTCTGTAATATATATCATGATGCCAGCTGTGTCTACCGTTACTACACGTTGAGAAAGGGAGCAGGTGTGACCGAAATATTCTTGATAAATAAGTTTCGTTATACGTCAACTTGGTATTTCATTTGTTTACATATGCTGTTTAACTATATATTATATATATACAATATATATATATATATATTATATATATTTATAGGCCTATATATATAATGTAACTAAATATTATTTATATATGTATATATATTCGCCTATATATAAATGTATATTTTGTTTTTGTTTCCTATTAATATATATATTATATATACATATGCTGATGCACTTTAACATTAAACATTATTTCAACCCTTATTCCATCAAAGAAAGAAATTTAGATTGTATACGTATGAACGAGGTCGATGCAGGTAGCGCCACCAATCCGATTAGGCCTAATAAGGATTTAAGATTTAACATAATGGCGGATCAACTCCGTAGTATTTTTGATGATCCAAAGTACTACGTCAAAGTTTTTGACGAACGAACAAAGCGACAACAAAGAGCAAATGCACTGATTGAATGGACTGACGATCTCGTTGTAAATCAACTTCTTGGAAAGCTTAGCGTTAAAGGAAGACCACTAAAAGTACTTGGTATTGGTAGTGGTACCGGTAAGAGGTCAAAGTGTGCAAGTGATATACAATATTTAGATAGGCGTACACGGGAACATTGTTGGTTATATGATCTCACAGTAGTATCCACAGTAGTGATACTGTATTGACATAATAATGGTCGTTTCTGCTAGCCTATATAATGCAATACTGTAGGTATATTAAGGAAAGGTTGAATGTAAGTGAAGCTTGCATGATCGACAAAGGAAACTGCAATGAAACAGCTGATCTGACTGAGAGTCAGGGGTGGCGCCAGGATTATACATATATACTTATAGATATATTTTTTATATATATGATTTATTGTAATATTTATGACCATGGCAATCACATTGGTGAGATTGTAAGCAAAGTTAGACTTCGATCATAAGAGTGCTGTTGGACGTAAGGACCCATTCTCCACCGTCAGCCAGCTTTTTAGCCCTCCGGGCCATACCATCAATTAACTGCGCTTCATTAAATAAGGCATATATAATACTCTTGTACCAAAGCCCGGCGTTGCGCCGAAATTCGATGGGTACAACGTCTTAATACACATATAAGCTGGTTAAACAGAGATCTTGGCGTACTTAGCGGATACAGTACATGTATTCATTCCATTAAAGAACTGTTTTTAATTTCGGAGTACTGTATTATTGACGGAGCCGATGACACTTTGCATAGGTCCAACTATTATGATGCGGCTTTTTTTTAAATTTTATTGTCATCTCATAAACGCCGCTTTATGAGAATTAAAGCATTGTTATTGTAGGCTCACAGATTGAATACGGTACTACGGCCGGTATATCACCAATTTATATTGTTTCTGTAATATATATCATGATGCCAGCTGTGTCTACCGTTACTACATGTTGAGAAAGGGAGCAGGTGTGACCGAAATATTCTTGATAAATAAGTTTCGTTATACGTCAACTTGGTATTTCATTTGTTTACATATGCTGTTTAACTATATATTATATATACAGTATATATATATATTATATATATTTATAGGCATAGTATATAATGTAACTAAACATTATTTATATATGTATATATATGCGCCTATATATAAATGTATATTTTGTTTTTGTTTCCTATTAATATATATATTATATATACATATGTTGATGCACTTTAACATTAAACATTATTTCAACCCTTATTCCATCAAAGAAAGAAAGAAATTTAGATTGTATACGTATGAACGAGGTCGATGCGGGTAGCGCCACCAATCCGATTAGGCCTAATAAGGATTTAAGATTTAACATAATGGCGGATCAACTCCGTAGTATTTTTGATGATCCAAAGTACTACGTCAAAGTTTTTGACGAACGAACAAAGCGACAACAAAGAGCAAATGCACTGATTGAATGGACTGACGATCTCGTTGTAAATCAACTTCTTGGAAAGCTTAGCGTTAAAGGAAGACCACTAAAAGTACTTGGTATTGGTAGTGGTACCGGTAAGAGGTCAAAGTGTGCAAGTGATATACAATATTTAGATAGGCGTACACGAGAACATTGTTGCTGGTTATATGATCGCACAGTAGTGATACTGTATTGACATAAAATAATGGTCGTTTCTGCTAGCCTATATAATGCAATACTGTAGGTATATTAAGGAAAGGTTGAATGTAATACCCCATTCAGACTAGCATCGCATTGCGATCGGTTGTAGCAATTGCGACACCCAGTCGCACCCAATCGCAAAGTAAAATCGTGTGTGAAAGCTCACCAATAGTAGTCGATATGTAATCGATATTGCAATTGTTACCCGTTGCGATTGGGTGCTACAATCTTTATTACTCCCGATTACCACGGAATCCGATCGCAACGAATCACAACTAATTCCACAGGCACTGTTTGGCTGAGGTCAGTCAACATAGGCCTAGCCACCGGAGGCTAGGGTCTAGAATGTAAAGTTTGTTTGTGTAGGTCTGAATGCGTTCGTTGATTGCGATCGGGAGTAATCAGTTTTGGATTACCACCGATTACATCGCAACCGATCGCAACAGAGTGTAGTCTGAATAGGGTATAAGTGAAGCTTGCATGATCGACAAAGGAAACTGCAATGAAACAGCTGATCTGACTGAGAGTCAGGGGTGGCGCCAGGATTTGCCCGATGTAGAGGGGGGGAGGGTAGTGGTGGGCGCGTTACCCCCCACCCCGACGAGGAGTCAGATTTCCCCGACGAGGAGTCAGATTTCCCCGACGAAAGAAAAGTTGGCGTGGTCGAGCTTAGATTGAAAGGTTTCGAAAGTGGATGGTACGAAGCACTCGAAAATTTTGACAATTTAGGGGTTTCAAAGGCTTATTTAATCGATTTTAGAGTCTACTGATATGTAGAAAATACATATATTTTTTTTCTCCCCGACGAATTGTGCTTTTTCTCC